CCGGCAGTTGCTGCCCCTTTATTTCGATTCCTCTCCTCCCACCAATAATCCGGGTAACCGTGGAGTTTAAAACAAGCCCCAACCTCATGCCCTTTTTGTTTGCAATGAGTGCAAACAAGTTTAAGACGTTCAGCCCGATCTGGACGGCCCTTCGTGAGGGAAAACGCCTGGACATCAACTGTAGGCTGCTTTCCTCAAGCAACAGCACGTGAAATTTCCTCTTGGAGGAAAGCTTGATGAGCGCGATCAACATCAGGAAGTGGGGTATGCGAAAGTAGGTTGGAACGGACTGTTCCATACAGTTCATCGTCAATCCCGACCAAAAATTGGTGAAGTTTTTCTTCTTCCTGGTCTGCAGCGAATTTCCCAGCCACATCACATGTGCATAATCCGCACGTACACGAGTGCAAAGGCTTAAGCCGATTCAGTTCATCGCACAAACTCATTAGAGCAGTAAAATAAGCATCCACAGACATGTTCTAGACGCCCGTAGCTGCTGAAGGCGCGGCCCATTTGCAACACTAAATCATTTCTCCAAATACAACCACAGTGCACGAGCTTCTTCATGAAATGAGATAGATGCTGCCACGTTGGACTCCATGCTTCGCAACAACCAAAAAATCACCATAGAATTTACTGTTCCCTAGTCAAGCAATTTCGCCGGCTATGTTGCTTTCTTTATCGTTTCATCCACGAAACTAAACTTACGTCGCGCCTTCAAAGACAAAGTAATAGCTCGTGAGTCGGGACCATCCCACATAATTATCTCCTTCAAAGATTACATGGGTAATAATATTGCCGGGCTGACCACCAGACCCGAGATAATATGGAGAAGAAGGATCGGCCATGGCGGACAGGAGCAAACACGCCCGTGTTGCTCTATGCGTTGGCCGAAGGAGGAGCACAGTTCCGCTAGTAGGTCTCTGATACCATGATGCGATTTAGCATGTAAATTAGGGTCAAAAACTGATCTTGTTATTTTATTGTGAATACAAATGTATATATACATGTCAATGACCGAAAAAATATAAACCCTTGGCCCAAGAAATAGGCTAGAAAATAATAAATAATATACAAGCCCATGGGTCTAACAGTACTTTTTCTAAAAAGCTGATTTGATACATCAAAAGACATGACACACAAATTTGATCGTTGTGTTTTGAAAATCGATTTGAGGTAAATATATTTTTTATAGATATTTTTTATAAATACTCTCTCCGTTGCCTTCCTTTCTGAAATGAAGTTCTTGATTTGACCTACACATATTTATGTAAGATAAAGTTTTGTTTTGACTTTCCAGGTATGCCCCGATTTTATGTCAAATCAAGCAAAAAGTGAGTAAAAAGTAAGGGTAGTTGAGACTCGCGACTTTTGATTAAAAGTGATTTCCTTTTATAAAAATGAGAATTTTTTTTGGAACATCTGAAAAAGAAAAATGAAACTTCTTTTCAGGACGGACATAGTATATTTTAGGGATTTCATTATTAAAATCACATTGTAATAACTCTCTCCAAAGCAATTCTCCATCACAGTTCTCTCAAATCCTTTTCAATTTTTTTTAATAAAAGCATTTTCTAATGGCAACCGTATCCCAGCCCAAAATTAAGTTGGTGAATGAAGAGCTCGTTTGGTGACCCATGTTTTTGGCTTATCGGTCAATTTTTTCACCAAACAAATAAGCAGAAAAAGTAAGGTTGGTGTTACTTTTCTGGCTGTATTGACTGAAGTTCTTGTAGAGGATCATTTTAGCTATTTTTTCATATAATTTTTTATTTAATTTATTAATAACAACTATTTTAGATATAATTTTTTCATGAATCAGCAGAATCAGCCATTACAGTCACTTCGGCCAGAATTTCATAAATTCCAACAGAATCAGCCAATTCAGCCACTTTTAATGTTACCAAACGGGCTCAAAGACTTGGACAGTCTTCATATGCTTTTAAAATGTAGTTTTATGTTTTTTTATTTTAAATAGATAAAATAAGTTTTTCTGCTTAAGTTAACTACCGTAGAGTTAAAAATAATGAACAATGGCATTTTAAACATTTTTTCACTTTCTCTATTATAACAAAGAAATATGGTTTACCAACAAATTAACTTTACTTTTTAACTTTATTATTTCGCTTTCATTTTCTCAATCACACAGTTTTAACTTTATTATTTTAAACTTGGTAAAATTTTATGGGATGAAGGGAATATCATTTTTCTAAAGTGCATTAAACACACTCTTTGGTCTACTAGTAAAATCTATAAGTAGCATAGGCTAAATTCATCATCATCATCATCATTACCCGAGTGCCGCAAAGACTCCCATCTTCTATGGGGTAAGGGGGTATCATGTAAGCAGTCTTACCCATGTACTAAACCACAAAAAGACTATTTCTGGATGACCCATAGTGAAAACTGTGTCAAAAACTTGCATGGGCGTTTTGCTGCTTCATAACAAAGAAACGCAGACAGTTTAGTGAACTATTTTGCTTTATTCCATCACGTTCTCAAGCCAAAAAATAGTGAATCTTTGACTCCATCGTGAATGATGAAAAATAGCATAGGCTAAAATGCTAAATGATTTCGAATATTTATTTTGAAAAATACTTGTTGATGACATAGATCTCTTAAGTTGGTTACTTGGTTATAAGAAAGGGACAAAAACAAACATAGGGCCAACCTTGATAAGGTTTGGCCCTTATAATTTTTTGATCATTCAAATAAGCCTATCGACCCTATGTACCATAAAAATTACAGAAAACTCAAGGGTAATGTGAGATCCCAAGTTCGATGCCCATGAGCAGTAATGTGAGAGTTTCATTTAATGTAATGTGTGCACCACACAGAGACTACTGATCTCATAGATTGATCGAGATCATCTCGTAATTTACCGCCCTACGACTCTATGAGGTATCGTGTGAGGGCGTCTAGGACTCTAGGGTGAACAATTCCACCTTTTGGGTTGATGAATTATTGGTGCAAAACACAGAAAGACGTGGGGTGTCGACTTAAGGCGATGAAAAACGATTTACATTATACAAAGACGTGGAGAAGACGGTCAACTCGCAAGTTATCTGTTAAAGGTGTAAGCTTAGGTACAAAGGCGAAGCCTTTTCTAGAAAAAATAAGTCAAAATCTCAAAAAAAATCATTTTATGAATAGGTTACCTTGGTGATCTAATGATAAAAAATAACAATATATTCTTTCATTTTTTTAAAATGCAACCCATTTTTGCAAATAAACATTATGCTCAAACTTGAACATTTTGGAGTAATCAGGACTGAAACTCAGCTCATTGAGTTTTAAACCCTTATGTGCGTAGCGGGTTTCAAACTCGAGACCTCGCAATAGGCACGGTAAACTCACATCCAGCTGGGCTGGAATGATTGTTTTTTTTTTAAATCATCATCGAAACTCTCGTCTATCTCAGAACAATAAAAATAGATATCCTTATAAAATACTTCGTAGTAGTAAATATTAATAACAATCTACAAGGACTTTTCATGTCTAGAATTCTCATATACTCGTCTAGACTTCAAATGAATGATTCTTGACCTTGCACCTTGTCACTTCTCATGCATTTTAGAATATCACATTAATTAATACACACACGCACACACATATAATACATAGTACTTTATCATGGAAACTAAATTAAAAAAAAAACACTAAGCCTTGTTGGGCGGTAAAATGCGAGGTGAAGTCGGAATCTTTTATCATATTTGTATGCCAGAGGTTATATGTGGATACAAAATATGGAGCTCATTGGGAAGCCATTAATGGAGGAACTATAAGCTTTTTGGCGGGAAGCTAGAGAAGATGTAAAATGGGAGTTTCCAGAGTTCTTCTCTTCACCTAGGAAAGTCCCCTTTCTTCATAGATTAGCTAGCCGTTAAGTAGGAAAATGTTCAAATGGCAGCACAAGTGAAGTTTGATCACAACATCATCCATACACCACATTTTATATCCTGGTATCGGCACACCATGAGGACGGTGTGCCCGATCCCAAAACGGTGTAGTTTTATACGGAGTATTAAAAAATTGATGAGCTCGATCGAGATTGACAGCCAAAAGCATCAGGAAGATGAACCTTTAACACCGAAGGAAAGGTTCCTTTGCAGGCGGAGGAGGTGGCGCATGATCCTTTGCTTTATACTTACGTGTACGTATGACAGCTCAACTGAAACAACACGCATCTTCTCCACAGATGCCTTCACCACCATCGATTTCGCCGTCGATGATTTGATTAATCTGAATTTTTTCATTCTTCTGGATGTTGATTTCACAAGTTACATTTGAATAGGCTAAAGTTACATTCACAAATTACATCTGACTTGTTCCCAAGTTACATTTGAATCAAAACAATTACATTTCAATGAGTTACATTTGAATGAATGTAATTTACATCTTGATAAACTTGAAGTTACACGTGAATTAACATGATTTACATTACATATAACCTTGAGAGAAGGATGCTCACCTTGCACCGCTCCCACGGTATAGCAACTGTCCATACACATATATGGCATGGTATGGAAACATGAACATGAGACATCTTTATTCTTTAAATATATGGGACTTGTTTTTTCAATCTATTAAGGCAGTCAAGCTTAGCCTCTTACTCTCTTAGCACTTTCGAATCATTCTTATTAGAATAACATTATTATTATTTTTTGTAAAAAAATATTATTATTATTATTATTATTATTATTATTTATACTACATGCATGTTGACTTTGATCGGGTGGCTATCAAAGAGGGTACGCTTGCAAATTTACCGCAGATCAACGAGTCCTCGGCCCACAAATATATCTCACTTTTTAGTTTTTACACAGCCTCTGGTTGCCGCTACTAATAAACAATACCCAGATATCCCGTTTATTTACATTAAAATGAGCAAAAGTTCCCTTATGAACTAAGTGACTACATGTATCCAATACAACAATGTTAATCCTATATGGTTTATCATTGATTTCCCTAACCTTAGTCCCAAAAGAGTTTGAGATCAGCGAACAATGAAACAACCATTCAATACTAATAAAAGAAAAACTTGCAAAACCAGTCATCAGAAAGGTTAATGATAGCAATCAAAATCAGCCTTCCTGTTATCTTTTCAATCTTACATGACATGAGTAATATCAACAGTTCAAACTCTCGGTGCATGGTTGCCTGGGTAAAAGAGAGCGATCTGGGTAGACCACAGAAAATAAAACTTTCTAGATTCTGCAGTAAACATATACTCTGTATATGTCAATGAGAGAGGATGCTAACATCCACACTCAGTGACAAAAATGTGTTCTTTTATGATTAACACACATCTCTATGCGCCACGAACAACAACAGGAGCAAGTTTCTAAAAGAGAACTGATAACAACACTAACCTGACATTTCTTTTGATTAACTTACCCCCCCCCCCCCCCCCAACCACCACCACCACCACCACATGCACACCTGTTGTTGTTACTTATCTTCATTATCATTCCATTTCCTTCAATACCATGCCAAGGAATTACATAAAAAACCTTATACCCTGACAGGGCAGCATTCAATCAGTCCTTTTACTGAGTTGACCTTCAAGCCTCTCGATTGCAGCACCAACCCCACTCTTCACTTCTTTGTTGTTATTGGTCTGGGATTCATTTGCTTTCTCTACAAGCTTCAGATGAAGCCAACCTGATAAATATTTGTGCATTAGTAACTAATCATCATAATCTATGCCTAAAGAATAGTAGCAAGTATCAACGCACTATTTGTGTCCACTTAATCAACTCCATGCATGATTGCAAGGCATGCATGAGTATGTTATGACCATCTATCTGCAAAACAAGTGGAGTGCTAGGTTGGAGGACTGTTGGTGACCATGCACCGACAACACAAGTGAAGTATCGGGTAGCAATGCTGATGAGGAAAGAAAGAGTGCTGAATAAATGAATAGACGGGGAAGCTAGATGTGACCAGAAATATTACCAAGTGGAAAACAAAATATAGCACCTAAAGCAGAACCCAACATAACATTTCTTGCACGCCAGTAGAATGACCCTGGCACTGGAAATGCAGAAGCGAAAAGAGTTTAAGAAACCAGGGAAAGCACTGAAAAAGATATATTCTTGATTGGAAGATTTATCCCACTTACTAATAAGACCAAAAGCTGCAGAAGTAGCAGATCCAGCTCCAACAACATTATATACATCATGCACTCCACGCTTCTCAGCAAGAAGATTCTGCAACCCGTAAAATGCAGCAGTGAACATCCCAAGACGAACTCCACCAACTATTGAGCCACGAGTGACTCGTACAAATCTTTTCTCCATGGCATCTCTCATCAGGCGATACTGTTCACGCTTATCTGGTGTGCTCCCAAGCTTCAGCATCACCTCTGCATCCTTGCTCTGTCAAAAGAGCTCACAGCTAATCATGGCAAGATAACAGCTTGACATTTATTCCTCCTCCAGAATGTATAATTCACAAAATGCATACTTACAACTGAAGCTGCTGCCTCCTTGCTACCTCCATATAGCATGCCAGCAAATACTCCAATAACGGTAGCAGTGCCCCAATTGACGGTTCCAGCCATTTTTGGACTTCTCTGACAAAAAAGGTGTAATGTTTTGACATTATTGAATACAAAAATTCCATTTGAAGATCTAACCATCTCAACTTGTCATTTTAAAAGAGACTCTTTAATCAGTGATTTTGGATCAGTCTGAGGATGTATCAAATAACAGATACATGAACCCACAAAATTGAAGAATGAAAGAGTAACTCAGACATTCGACATGTATCTCACAGTGTTAACTGCCAAGAAGATGTGAATTTGAAATTCTGAACTGACCCTTTAGATACTAGTATATTCCCAGATATTAATTTCTATGGAGCAGTAAAGTTGATAAATCCAGTGTGATTGTAACATATGTAAACACTCCTAAATCTGAAGCAGCATAGATTTACAATTATTAGGGAGACAGAGAGAGACTCACATAAACAACATCTGCTTCTTCAGATTTTGCTGTGGATTCCATTACAATTCGACTAAAAACAATGAAGTAAAACAGTGTAGGAGCACAAAGAAGGCAATGAGAGGTCAAAAGGAGCTCAAGGGGAAGACACTGAGTGGCCGGAAGCTGGATTGTGATGTACCTATCAGCAACAGTGGCAGAGCTCCAGGTGTTTCACTAATTCCTGCCAAATTAATGGGCCTCATAGTTAAACAAGCAGGCAGGTAGTGCACTCGTTAACTCGTGTTCTTCAAAACCAAAATAAAAGAATGCACAGAGTTTCTAAGAAGAGCGATTCAGTTAAAATCTATCTTCCTAAATAAATTAATCTAGTTCATAACAGATTTATTTCACCACCGTCCACGACTCATGATGCGCCACTAATGGCAGCTTAGAGCTCTGGCATGTTTAGTTAGAATAGTACCATGACTCATGATGCACCACTAATGGAAGCTTAGAGTTTGGGGGTATTTAGTTAGAATAGTAATTCCAGCAGAGATCGAGCATATCTGTGGTTTGATTGATATTTCCAGCCATTTGAAAACCTATAAATTATTTATGTAAAGTATGCATAGGTAAAAATTCGAAGGACTTTGAAATAATTTATAGTTCTAAAACTGTTTACAAAATGCAAAAATATAAATTGTTATTAGTTTACAAATTATAAAAATTGTGAGAAGAGTACATTACATTACACTTAAAAATTCGACACCAGGATGTTTTTCTCTATTACTTTCTTCGTTATCCCGTCTATAAGACCCAACGCCTCGTGTTACGAATTATAAAATAGACATGATCACGAGTACCCTAACAATTTAAAAATGTTTTAAACTTTAAATTCTTAAAGAGTTAAACCATTTAATCAATTAAAATTTAAACCAAATAAAGCAACGAAAGTAGTTAATCAAAAAATTGCACAAACAAATTCAACTTTATACCAATTCAAGAAATTAATCAATTAAACTTTAAACCCATAAAGTAAATAATCAATAAAATTGCAATATAATTTACTGTAAAGCAATTAATCAATTCAATTTTAAGTAAATAGGTAATTAAATCAATAAGCAATTACACTAATTAAAAAGGATTTCAATTTTAAAATTAATTACCAAAGTAGGCAACTGCTTCAGACTTCTATATCGGAGAAGCAAGCAAGGGGACTAGGACTGCCGAAGGCGACTCTGCAAGACTGCGACGGACTCCCAGACGCGAGGCGGCGATGCGGAGAGTCGGAGACTGAGGAAGAAGGAGCGACTGCGGAGTGCGGCCTGCGGAAGTTGCGATTTGGAAGGCGCAGGCGGACTGCTTACTGCTACAGTGCTACTCTGCTAGTCTGCGACTCTGCTCTGCTAAGGAAAGAGGATGAGACAGGCACAAAAATAGGGCTTTTTATAAATTTTCTACCCATATGTGGTCTGATCCAAACCGCAAAAACCGGCATAATCCTATATCCATGTCCGCCCCTAAGAGCGGGTCGGGTAGTCCATCAAACTGTCTGGGTCGGGAAAAGTTTATATTTTTCAAAATTATATAATATTTTAATACTTTATAAATAATATTATACCATTACAAAAATTGCTAATACGCTTATAATATTTACAGGCCTTTCACCACGTACACAACAAATGTTGACACAAAAATAATAATGAGAAACTATATCTAGAATTTAAAATTCAAGTACAAAGTATTATCTTGAAGTAAAAAAAAAAGATATTATATTAGTTGAGTTACTTGTTAAGAACTAAAAACTTAAATAAACTATAAATATGTATAAAGATACATTAGTAAATATAAATATACATTTGTACGTATAAATAAATAAATATATCAATATATATATATATAGGGAGTTGTTCCGGTAAGAACGGACTCCTGGGAGAGAAATAAGAATGAATCTGGATCGTTGGATTGTATTATGCGGAACTGAATTGTGCATTTGGTGAAACTGAAATGTGCATTAGATAATATTGTAATGTGCAGAATAAAAATTTAAACTCAAATGTGCATTAGGTGAAACTGAAATGTGCAGAATAAAAGATTCAAAAATAAAATCACATCGTACATTTTATTCTGAACATTTCAGTTTCACCTAGTGCACATTTCAATATCACTTAATGCATAATTCCACTTCACCTAATTCCAATGTATCATACCATTTGTGTTTCACATTTTAATTTCACCTAATGCACATTACAGTTTCATCTAATGCACACTGAATTTCACTTAAAACAAATCTAACGGTCCAGATTTATTCTCATTTCTCTCCTAAGATCATGTTCTTATTTGAACCAAAACCTCTCTCTCTCTCTCTCTCTCTCTCTCTCTCTCTCTCTCTATATATATATATATATATATATATATATATATATATATATATATATATATATATATATAGGGAGGTTCAAATACAAAGTAATACTTATATGGAAAATGAGAAGTAATCTTAGCCGTTAAAATGAGAAAACGAGTGGATTAGATCAATTTTTAAAGAAAAAAATCGGTGCCAAAAGTGTAATTATTAAAAACTTTTTTGAAAAATAATGTGACAAATGTGCATCACTACGGAGTACGGAGGAAAAGTGCATTAGACTAACAATAAAGTGCATTACTTTATGGAAAAAACATAACATTTATAAAGATCGTTCCTGATGTTTTTTAGAAGGTGAATGTGCACCATTACATATTTCATATGCACTATTGCTATTAGGTATTACACATTTTGGTTGATCGTGAGTTTTGATCTATACCATCCATTTTCAAGTAATCAAGGGCTTGGATTACTTCTCACTTTTCATGGGAAGACCTCTTTGTATTAGAACTCACCCCTATATATATATATATATATACTAAATGTAGCAGGTCGGGCTCATCGGTCTGAACGGGCCTACACCCTAACCCAAGCCCGTCCATATGGTATTACAGGCTGGGCTAGCCAGACCCGGTGGGTAAATATATATGTCAAACCCACCCATTTGTGCGACTGCCCCGGTTTTGTGCAGGTCTAACGACGATGAAGCCTGAAAGGAAACAGGAAGGTCAAACATCCAAACACGTATGTTAGGTTGGGGTCCGAACAGCTTCGTTACTTTTTTTCTGTGCACTTAATCAAACGACGCCGTTTGGCGGACTGAAATAATCTATCTATATATAAAAAGAGATGGAAAACTGGAAATCAACTCATTTTCCCCGCTCAAAAAATGGTAAAAAAATTGATCCAAACCAGGTTTGTGATATATTGGACCGGAAGTTAATCATTGGTCGAGTAGGTGAATATTCACGTTGGTCGATATATTCATGTTCGAGTAGCGTGAATTTTCACGTGTATCTATGCATACATTGTCTGCTGCTTTGTTAGGAGAAGTCTGTTGACATGAGCCCTAGAATTAGTTATTTCATGATATGTTGTCTTAATTTGTCTATAGTGTGTATGCAGTAACAGTTGAGTACAAACATTTGTTCCGTATATCAGGTTCAGTTTGCCCGACTCGGAGACGAGTGATGCTCGGCTCGATTGCAGTTTCAGTGCTCTCTTTCAAATTTGAGAATCGGATTCGACCTTGGCCACGAGCTAGTTTTGGAGCTCTTTGGTTGTTCTGAGAATCATATTTCCGAACATAGCTTTAGTTGCGGGCTTAGTCCAGGCCATGAGGGTTGTCTTTGTCGATTATGGAGGCGTGTTCATACATTATCTTGACCCGTAAGGTACGTAGATAATTAATGCACGAGCTGCTTGTGTACACAACCAACAAAAAAGTGTTCACGTTGTCTGCGTGCACAGACAAATATGTACAAATTTGTGCTAATTGTGCACATATTTTGTGGACAAATAATTTTATTTCATTTTATTTTTGTTATTGATTTTATGGGCCTGTTGTTATGCATTGGAAAGGACCTCATGTCCAATTCTGGCGTATAAACAACAGGGAATGCGCTCAAGGCCCACTGCTTCATCAGGGATCATAAATTTATCAATTATACACTCCCTCCGTCCCGAAAAGGTTGACTAAAATACCAAATTTCCTTTTTTGGATGTCCCAAAAAGATTTGTCATTTCCATTTAAAGTAAGGAACACATGGCTAAAATTAATTCTCTCATCTCTACACAAATTTCAACCACACAATTTTTACTTTATTAATCCACGTGAAAGTCAACTCTGACCAATATTTTCGGGACGGAGGGAGTATATATTTGTATCTAATTACATATACATTACATAATCTATAAAAATTAAGAAGGAAAATCAAAATTATAAATTTTCAATACTTTCAATTTACTACGTACTATTCAACAACATCTACAGAGCCGGCCCAAGGCAGGTGAGCCTAGCCTACTCCCGCTGGGCTAAAAAATGTCAGCCCAAATCCAAAGAAATAGAGCAGAAAAACCGAAGAGAAGTGCTGTAGCGGAAACTTTCAAGCGACAAGCAAAGCAACAAAAAAGACAAAGCCCGCCACCGCGCCCCGCCTGGCCGCCTCTCCAACTCCAAGACCAGGATTCCACGACTGAAGTGCCTCACGCAGACTACGCAGTTACCGGCTTGCCGCCTCACCGTCTTTCCACCACCCACCGTTCAGATTCACGGCCCTCAACCCCTTACTGCCTCGGACCTGGGTTGTCGGTTAGCATATATGATTTTCTGAATTTTCTCTTTTTAATTGCAAATTAGGTTGTTGTTACTTGTTTATTTAATGACAAAATGAAGTAATTCAATTGATAATTGTATTCAACAATTGAGAAATTGGTTTAAGTATGTTATACGAAATTGGGTTCAGTCTTTAGCAATTTTATGTCCAAGCCTCTACTATTTCTTATACGGAGCAGTGTGTAAGGCATTTTTTTTCCTTTACTTTGTTTAAGTTCTTTGCTCTTCCATGTTTCTTTAATAAATTTGGCCAATAATTTTTGGGTACCTCCAACTACTATTTTTTAAGGGTTGGACTTGAGAAATTTATACATAGATATGAATGGTCTCCAAGAACTCTCAATACTGATTTCTATAACAAGAAAATTTATTATAAACATTCACACATTCCCTACGGCATACTCTATTTGTACTGGCATGGACCTCCTGAAATGTCAGGGCCAGGCCTGGGAAAGATATTCGAATGCACTATCTTTATTTTGTAAAAACATGTCACTTTAGCTGCAATGCACCTAATGCATTGAATATATTTTAACAACAATTTTTTTAAAGAGACTTATATAACCCTCTTATGAAGTTATATGAGGTATTGTGACACTACCGTCTCCATTCATTTTCAGTGAGACACTGAGACTCGCTGAAAATGAATGATAATTTAATGTCACAATGCTCCATATAATAACTACACAAAGGAGTCAAGTGATGTAGGTCTGCATGAGCCTAATAGAAACAAGAATTATGCTTCTCATTTTAAGAATCAATCTACACCCTCAATGATCCGTAAATGCTAAATAAACCCATTTAGAAGAATCGGGTTGGACTGTTACGACTCACTGATTTGCCGAAAGCTAAATCTTTTCCTGCACAACCTCAGAGAGCTCGCGGCTTGGAGAACCCTCAAGGAAGTAGAAGGTTAGCGAGCAGATTCAGGTTTCAATCCCAAGTTCACTATTATCATGCCAGACGCTTCTGTTGTCAATGACTTCATTGTCAAGCTCAAGAAACGGTATCGATTCCTCTTCTTTTTTCAACAATTCCTCACCAATTAAATCCTTAATTATCATATCTACCATTACTATCCCTTTCTCCCCATTTTTTATGTCACAACAGTGAAATAGAGGGCTCCAAAGCTACCGCCAAGCTGACAGCAGAGCTGCTGCGCTCCTTTATTTCGCTGCAGAGGCTTCCGCATACCAATCAGGCTGGAGCTCTCATTGACGCCGTCAAAGCTGTAGGGGAGAAATTAATTGATGCCAATCCTGTAGGTAAGATGAAATGTTTTTTTGGCATGCATTTTCCAAATAACTTTTAACTAATATGTGGAATAAATGTTATGTTGTTTGTAATAGTGTTTTTCTTATTGTGCACTGCGTTGTTTTCTAACTCAACAGACTAGGCCTTCTGTACTTCGCATGCGAGTCTATATTACTATTGGAGTTTGATCCTTGGTATGAATATTTCAATATCTTATGAGGAACAGACAACGAATAGTGACAGTATTTTTAGAGACATATGGAATTAAAATGGTGCATGGAATTTGACAAAATAATCGAGAATATTCTTTGATAATGTGCACATAAATCCTCGCTTGTTCACTCAATGACGATCAGTTTTTTAGACTTCAGATGTTGCCTAGCAGAAGCGAGGTTCATGCCTCTTCTATGTGGACATTGTCTCTTTTCATTCTCTTTTATATTCAATTCTAAGATTTTCAGTTTAAGATTTTTGAGGATTTCTTGTAATCTAAATGCAGAACTTGCTGTTGGTAACATTGTGAGGCGCGTTTTACATATTATTAGGGAGGAGGATGCATCCTTAACTACTGCTGCTATTGGTGAGTTAAATATATCAGCTGGAAGTGATGATGAAGATCATACTGATCATGACGATCATCCAGTTCTATCTGCTGCTGCTGTCGCTGCTGCGGCCAGGAGTACATTGAGGGCACCTTCCTTGCAGACCTTGCTCGAGGATTTGCCACATTCAGCAGCAGTTCCTCATCCAATTTCGTCTGGAGGAGATTCAGAAGGAAAAAGTAAATGTGAGGCTTTGAAGTCAGCTTTGAGTTAAATCAAATGCAGTTTACTAGCTAACTTGTTACCTGTTCTTTATCATCCAATAGTTACATACGAAGTATCAAAGTGAGCAAACCAGCCACAATTAAAATCACATCTTTATTTTTAAAATGTATTACCCAAAAGGAGGCCGGTTTTAAAAATTAAAAGGCAGCTTTTAATTTTCCAAGTCAAATTCCCGTTGAGCCCAGCAACCAGAAATTCTAGTGAATTTTAGGGGCATATATATGTTACTATTCATAACTCGTAAAAATATGTAGCTTAGCTGACAACAAATACAAAATTATTGGGTGTATATTTGTGAGTATGTGACCTTTCATAACGTATAAAAATTAATTTGAATTGACTACGAATAAAAAATTCTAGCTTAGGCGTACTGCGTATATGAGTAACATGACTCTTTTTTTGGGACGGGAGTAATATTTATTGCATGTTGGTGATTTGGAATGTGTAAATGCTTTAGGGTATTTATTTAGTGATCAGCAATCACAGGGTATGAATCTCACATCATTGATACGGTTTTTAAAATTTAATAGTCTCACGGGTCACATGCTATTTTTTGCACTTCCCAGCTGCTGATAAGAACTTGCAGACTCGGAAACTGAAGCATAATGTGATTGAGGCTGTTAATGACCTTATACAAGATATAGCCACTTGCCATGAACAGATTGCAGAACAGGCAGTGGAGCATATTCATCATAAGTAACTTTCTGACCAAATGTCTCTATCGCTTCATTTATTCTTCAAATGTGACGCATTGCTGGTTTAACATTATCTGTGTTTTTCTTAAATTACGAGTTCCTTTATATCTTACATAGCTTTGTGAATGTGCAACCTTTAACTTGGTTAACCGCAAGAACTCTTGTGTTTTTATATTTCTCTCGTTCAAACCTATAACATCAAAACCTTATTGTCCATATTTTCAACTATTTTTTCAGTGAGGTAATTTTGACATTAGGCAGCTCAAACACAGTAATGGAATTTTTATTTGCTGCAAAGGAAAAGAAGAGATCATTCCGAGTATTTGTTGCAGAGGGTGCACCGAGGTCGGGCATTGTGGAGACATTATTATTACTAGTTTATTATTCACACCAAGTTATGACTGAATACTTGATTTCGCTGGCTAATTTCTGTTTTTGTTCTGTATTTTGTTGGGGAATTAAGATTTCAGGGACATGCTCTTGCAAAAGAACTGGTTGCTAGGGGGCTGCAGACTACCGTCATTACAGATTCTGCTGTTTTTGCAATGATTTCTAGAGTGAATATGGTAATTGCAGATTCCTTTTAACCAGAAAGCAGGTTCTGTCATACCCACCCTATCTTTCTGGAGTTTTGGCTGTAATCATACACTTATTCTTTAAAGGTTATAGTTGGAGCTCATGTGGTCATGGCCAATGGGGGCGTTATAGCACCAGTAGGAATGAACATGGTGGCTTTAGCAGCCCAAAGGCATGCTGTTCCTTTTGTTGTACTTGCAGGCGTTCACAAGGTATTTTGCATATAAGGAGCTCTAGTCCTCGTAGGTTTTGTTTGGATTGAGGGTTTGGGGGTGGGTGGGTGGGTTCTCAAAGGGTAAGCTTTGGAGGGCTTAAATGATGAGTCACGACATGTAATTGAGATTGAGAAATTTCCCGAGATAGGAGTAAGACAATGTGATATTTCAGAATAGAAGTACTATGTGTTTTTGCTAAATAGGAGTGCATTACTCCGATTTACGGGATAAACATAAGAATTCACATTGTTTTTACTCATATTTAAGGCAATTTCTTAATTGAGATTTTATATAAAAAATTGAAACATTAACTTTACATGTACTTGTATAACACTTCTTTACCTTATTTATATGTTTTCATTAACATTGTTTTGACATAACTAATAGTAAAAGTGTTTTCTCATTTCAGCACTCAAAGCACTTTTCTGAAAAAAGCACCAATATGCGTTAAAGAAAAATAACAACCATTTTTTCCATCTTCCTGAAAGTGCTAAAAAGTACTTTATTCCTATGAACCCCATATTCTTTGAAAATAAGTCACCCCAAAGGCCTTCTAAGCTCTTACAAAGCATTCCCCTCCAAACCATCCATCCAAACACACCCTAAGATGAACACCTGCACAATGCATATCACACATAATTTGTGAGCACAAATTGTCTAACTTTTGCTTGCGTGAATGACAGTTGTGTCCTTTATATCCACACAACCCTGAAGTGCTGCTAAATGAGCTGAAGTCCCCATCTGAGCTGTTGGATTTCGGAGAATTCTCGGATTGTCTAAATTGTGATATTGGATCAGGGTCCCCTCTTCTACAAGTTGTCAACCCTGCATTTGATTATGTGCCACCTAATCTTGTTAGTTTGTTCATAACAGACACGTAAGTTGGTTCCTGTTCTTTGACCACATGCACTAATTACATAATTACTTGGTATTTTACTTTTGATGAAAGCGTAACGTGGTACTGGTGGTTTGATTACAGAGGTGGGCACAATCCTTCGTACATGTACCGTCTTATTGCTGACTATTACTCTGCTGATGACATGGTTATGCGTTGAAGAAGATGAGCATCTTTCAATGGCACATACCCTCTCTGATTGACCGACTGTTACATTTGACATGGCCGCATTTTGATTTCGATCTCTGTTTAGACATTTTCATTGTTGTGGGTCAAAGATGAATATATGAAGAATTAAAGCATACGCAATATTACTAGTGCCCATATGATGATCTGTGAGAGGTAGACTTGTAGTTATTGAAATCTCACCATTATATTCACGCGGTGCCGATAAATACCTCTTAAATTTTCATGGCTTCTAAGTACCGCACAATTTTCCTTATATTAATTGGTCCGTCCTAAAAAGTAAAAACAGTTTCAGTGTGCGAGATGCGAGCTTGTGATGAATTATCGCCATTTGTTTTTTTATTATTTACATACAATCAAATTACTCGAACAGAACATGCAACAATTTTAAATCTAGCAATTTGAATTCTACACACTTTGAGGAAACCTAGAGCAGTTCATGTGGAAGCACTTGGATTTCATATATTTGATGGCAGGTTCTGTATATCCTAAAAAAAATACCATGGTTTTGAGTTGTGACAGTTGATTGGCCACTCTTATTGGGTAAGTTTGGTTTTTTGCAAGGTTTTGAATAGGGATGGATTGGGACGTGTCGGTCGGCCCGGCTCGGTATTGTGCAGGCCCAACCTGGCCGGGCAGTATCGGGATTGGGGGCCCGAAGCGGCTGTTTATGGGGTGGGCTATGGGTCCTGATTTTAGTGGACCGGTCCGGGCAAAATTATTATTTTTTTAAATTTTTGGCATTGGGCTGCTAGGTGGGTTGGGTTGGATGTTTTGGCGGGGTTTGGGGTGAGGTGGAGGTAGGAATAAGTTAAAAAAAGACTAATTTTAAAAAATAACCCGACCTGACCCAGGCTTGACCCGACTTAGCGATGGACCCAGATCGGTCCTGTTCCGGTTCTGGGCCGGGCCCGGGCGGGCTTTTTTTGCAAATCCATGGACCCGGAACCAGCCCGGGTTGATACCGGGTCCGGGCCTAACTGGGCCGGGCCCGGTTCAATGTCTATTTTTTTTTTTGCTTTCTTGTTATCCCTCGACCCCCCCCCCCCCCCTCACCCCCACCCCCAAACCTCCCCAAAACACCCAGCCCTAGCCTAGGTAAAGAAGAAAATTGAAAAAACAAAAAAAAGACCCGGGCTCGGCCCGAACCGCTCGGGCCAGTTCGCCCAAAACTGGGCCCGAGCCCGGCCCGCCCGACCCGCCCAAACGGGCTAAAAGCCTGGAATCGGCCAACCGGTCCCGGTCCGATCCAGGCCAGCACAGTAGCGGGCCGGTTCAGTTCCGGCCCGGTTCGGCCCGGCCCAGTCCATCCCTAACCTGACTCGATCCCGGTTCAAACCCGGGCCATTGGGCTGCTGCTAGGTGGGTTGGGTTGGATGTTTTGGTGGGGTGGGGGTAAGAATAAGTTTAAAAAAGACTAATTTTAAAAAATAACCCGACCTGATCCAAGCCTGACCCGACTCGGTCCCGGTTCAAACCCGGGCCAGTACCGGGCCTTCATCCCAAAACCCAGTCCCGTCCAAAAAATAACCTGACCGGACCCCAATACTTAGAGTACGCTAGAGTATGCTCGAATGAAGGTAGCTCCTAAAAAATGCTCCTAAAAATGCTTGACCCAAATCATCTGCTCACTTGAAATCCAATTTCCTCTTCACCAAATAGCTCAAAGAATCATTTTTTTTTTGTCAAAAAGAAACTCAATAATACTACGTACAAGGCAATGAGGAGGAGTACAAATTGATTTTAAAATTCTCTCCCTAATCTTACTTAGCCCAGCTTACCAATACCGTAAGAAGACCTGCTAAATTTCTTCCAATATATTTCCAACCATGAATCAAATACCAACTGAATCAAGGAAGAAGAAACCCGGTATTCTAAATTCAGGAGGAGCCGTGGTCGTATTGGCTGTTTTAGTTCAAAATTTTGGAGAGACCATTTGTTAATTCTGAGGAGTTGGGAAACTGTTTTAGAAAATCTGGCGGATTTCTCAGAGTATCGTGTGATCACTTTCCGAATCTAATATTTCGACCCTATGCCTGGGGTTACACGAAATTTAGATTATGGGGATAATCACTCTGAGAGACAGTCTAAAACTGATGCACCAATATATAGACCACGAACTAGCAGTTTTAGTAGAACTCGAATTCTTCTGATTACCAAAGAGATAAGGCCAATCAGTTAAAGTTTTACTCTAACAGAAAGTCATTCTATTAAATAATTAATATGGACATGTTTATCCGAAAATAATTTTCCATATTTATTTCTTTAATAAAATAAAATTTTGGTCAGGGGCGCTGCCCCTTGGACCCCGCAAGGGGGCGCAGCCCCCTTGACCCCCGCCATTTAATCGAACCAAGTTTAAATTTAATTTCGTACAAGTGTGCGCTCCGCACCTCCTAACTTGTCTAAAATTAAACTTGAACTCCATTGGTAATCTGTAAATTCCATTACACTAAAATGACCCTGGTGATACTAAAATCACCAACACCATTGTCTTGTCCCTGCTGAGCCTTCCTCGTCGCCGGTTACTGTCCAAGTGTTTGTCCAGAAGAAGAGAAGCAAAAGATGGATTCTTCGGATTTAATCTCACCTGCATGAAGGAGAGAAAGAACTTGTCGTCCAAAGATGGAAATGGGTCTATTCCCGTGTATGAAGCGGGAGGAGTGTATTTTTTTTGCTGAGCGAATAAGTCGCCTTCTATGTGCACAAATAAGTCACTTATTTCATTAAGTTCCAAGTAAACACAACTTAATGAATTAATGGTTAAGTCATTAAATCCATTAAGTCCTAAGTAAACAGCCCCTTACTGACTTATTTCCCTCCAATGAAGTTGGTAGGCACTTCAAGAGTAGATTCAGAAGTATTTATTTTACTTGTATTCCATCAAATTTATATGTGCATTGGTAAAATTATCTTCTTTGATCCATTACCTTTACTCTATTATACAAACTTTTTAAATTACACAAAAACTCATGATCAAAAGATTGTTGATGAATAGTTCTACATCACGTTCCATATGCATAAAAATGCATATGGCTTTTCTACTCTTTAAATCAACGTCATATGCTTCATGGACAGGTATGGAGGATAAATGATGGACTTGTGTAGAGGATAAATGGCCACACAAAGATTCTATATTGAATTGGTATGAAGATCTTAAGAAGAATTACCCTCTACACATATCTACGAGGAATTCCCTCTGATGTGAGGTTGAGAAAAAAATGTCCTTTGGATCATCTAAAATTTTCTTTAAAGAGAGATGCATAAAAAAATTCCACAAAACTTGATATTTTGAAAGCCTTGCCAGACAACCCTAAAAGAGCACATCTATGAAAACAACAACAATGTAAGAAAGAAGACAGAAAAAATATAACATAATTCACAAAAGCACACGACAAATCTTAAATTCCATGAAGTATGACTTCAAATCACACATGGAGGAGTTCAACACTTCTATAGCTTCACATGGAAGAGTTCAACACTTCTATAACTGAGATTTTATTTCATAATATTAGTATGTCCAGACAATCCAATTTCTAAACTATATAATCAACCTCTCAATATGCTTTTTATCAAAGAGTTTTAAACAAAACCATGAGTAAAAGTTTTTGTACTTAAGGAGCTCAGTTATATACTAGCCAACCACTGTATAGAGAATTAAAGAGATACAGACCGAGAACATATCTTGGTATATGATGGAAACTTTGGAGATGCGCTGATGCAGCAACCTTCCTTTCAATTGAACTGAGCTTCAATAACATAGCATCAAAGCTCCAATCGGGTTGTGGATCAAGTGCAACCCCATCAATGTCTTCAGGAACCCTAGTGACGGATAGTATATTCGGGGGATACCGCTAAAGGGTATCTAGAGAGTAGTCAGAACAAGTAATTAAGAGAGAGAGAGAGTATGTATTAAGTGAAGTCGTTGTGTCATGGTTTACAATGGAAGAATTGGCTGCTATTTATAACAGCCGTAAATGCTAGGCGCAATAAATGAGGGTACACGTGTCAAGCATCCAGCGATGGAGGGTAATTTCAGCCAGGGTGGCGCCGACATAGCATGTGACCGCATTCAGTGCGGCGGTTTGGGTGTGACGTTGTACTTAATGCGATGATTCAGCGCATATGGAGAAGAGATCCTGTCGAGGAGAGTGCCCTCGGCTATATGCATCCGGGGGGTGCAAGTGTCGAGGGTTATGCATGATCTGGAGGCTGCCTGTGCCGAAGGCCGCACGTAATTTTAGCCTTGGTTCCGAGTGATGTTAGTGGACCAGGTGTATCTGTTTCCCAGATATGTAGCCTTCGGGCATGAGGCCGAAGGCAACACTTTGTTGCAGTATGGGCTGTGCGGAGACCTGTTCGCTGTGTTTGGGCTACTTGGGCTTATTGGGCTTGGCTGTAGTAGTGAAAGTATGCGGGCCGGGGGTTTCTGGGCCATATACTCCATTAGGAGTCCCCCACTCCTTTTACCGAGAGCTTCTCGAGGCAAATAGGAGTAAGTGTTGTAAAGTCTCTGGTGGCTGCCTTGATGTGGCTGTGAAGTAGTGAAAACATTGCATTTCCGTGTTTGGCTGAGGGCAGTCCCCCAGTCCCTCACACATTAGAGTCGAGGGGTTGTTGGGTTTTCAGCAGGTAGCCGACGGCCGAGGGTCAACACCTTTTGATCCACAATGGGGAGATGTCTCGGTAAAAACTTCATTAGGAAAAAACCCTGTGGGAAAAAATCCTAATGAGAAAAAAAGAGTACACCGGATGCCCCCAAAATGAAGCAAGAGAGGTGAACCCTTCGGCGTGACATACAAGATCATGTTGAGGCCGAGGGCCGTTCGCGATCTGAGGGCATGACCGTCGGAAGTAGTCGTCGGAATATGACCGTAGTTGATGAATGCAAGTGACTATTCCAGTGTTTGCTGAGGTCAGTTCTCTAGTCTCCCATACTTTTGTTTTTGCGAGAATTCTTTGAAAAATGGCGTATTTCCCGAGGGGTTCCCGAGTCCTCCACGCCTTCGTGCTCAGGGCAAACTCTAGATGAAGTGGTTTGAATGTGATAACCCGAGGGCTTGCGTTGTTGTCATTTGAAGGGAGTCAGCTGATTCCACCTCAGTATTTCAAAAATAGCCGTTGGGATATGATCGTTGGGAGAGCCGTCCACGTGGCATGTGTCAGTTGGCTTACTTAGGGCGGGCGTCATCGGTTGGCTGAGGCGACGGTTCGTAATGATGGGCTTTTAACCCGAGGCCCAGGTTCAAGCCCTAACCGCGGTTGGGGAGGCTATAAATATCCCTGGCCTGAACCCATTTGCTCCGTGCGATCATAACTGATGCGAGGCTCTGCCAAAATTTTCTTAGGGAGAGAAAGTCTCATTCGACCAAACCCTTGCTTCCGAGGTCAGTTCTTCACTTGTTCTTGCTATTTCTCACATACTTTGCTTCGCCCCCCTTAGATTTAGTGTTAGTGGCCTTAGGGTTAGTAAATGAAGCACTTTTCACCTTTTACTGTATGAAACAGTTCCACTGCAGAGTTGGTAACTTCAAGAAAGCCAAGATTTTACTGGACCAAATGGAGTTACCAGGGTTTAACTACCCTCCCGACAAATTCACATACACAGTCCTCATAAGCTCTTACTGCAGGCAGGCATGCAATGGAAATTGGATGCGTAAAAGCCATCTCGAAGAGAATGTGGGAAGCAAACCACTTTTTCGTATCATGCTGTTCAAGGGTTTCCTCCCAGATGTAGTGACGTACAACAGTTTGATCAACAGCTGCTGTAAAACATTTCGGACCGAGTCACCTATAATTCTTTCATTAGATATTACAGTGCTGTGAATGACATTGAAAAGGGTATCGAAATGATAAGAAGAATGGAGGCTAGAGGTAATGGTGTGTCGACCAATAGTTGTTACACGCCTTTAATCCATGCTCTGTGTGAAGGAAGAAGGGTGATGGAGGCGTGGGGTTTATTGGTTGAGTTGGTCGGGGGGGGGTCAATCCCAAGGGAGTATACTTATAGCCTGGTTTGCAAGGGATTAGAATCGGAAGGGAGAATGGATGGTTTGGATGGTGAAGTATGTACTAGGATTGAAGAAGGGATAAAGAGCAGAATCTGTCAAGCAGAGAGACATAAGCCTTTGTTTAGCCGCAAACATTCAACACCATTGTAACATTTGTTCTATTTATGAAACCTTTAGAAGTGCATAGTTTGTAAGGAAAATGCAAACAAATGAAACAAACGGTTCTTTTTCTATTCTTCTCAACTTCACCCGCTACCTCTACAAAGACTTTAATGTTGTGCAATGTAAATGGTGAGATAATGTAGCTCTTATTATTGTTGTTTTCGAGGGTTACTTTTATGGATTGATACTCTAAATTGGGTTGAATTAACTTCAACAATGACATTGAGACTTGTATTCTTCAACTTAATTTAGATTCAATTTCCTATTGAATATGATCTCAACTATGAAATTAGGCATGGACCGGTTCCGGTTCGGGCCCGGCCGGGCCTCGGTTCAAGAAGGGGAGGCCCGGAACCGGCCCGGGTAACCCCCGGGTCCGGGCCTCGCGTATATTTTTTTTTTGGGCTTTTCCTAGTTAACACCCACCCCTCCCCCTCACCCCCAAACCAACCCTAATCACCTCAAATGGCCCAAAATACCCAGCCCAATCCAAAAACTCAAAAAAAATTCAAAAAAAAAAATTAAAATTGGCCCGGCCCGGGCCCGAACCGGCCGGGCCGGTTCACCTTTTGAAGGGCCCGAGCCCGAACCGAGAATCCACCGGGCCGGGTGGCCCGAACCGGCCAACCAACCGGTTCACCGGGCCGGTCCGGGCCCGCACAGTGGCGGGCCGGTCCGATTCCGGGTCGGTTGGCCCGGCCCGAGTCCACCCCTATATAAAATCAGGTCATAATTTAGCTAAAAGTCTCACTTTAATTACAGCTATAAGGCATGTTTTCTAAGTTCTTTTGGTGTGGTATCCGTATATCACGATTAATGATAAAAACTTAATTAAGTTTAAATCACAGTCAAAGAACGTAACAAATTTGATACACTCGGCATAATTTAATTCAAATCGGGCGTTTACTTTTTTCCATTTTTAACACGTTTTAGAACTAATGAAAGTTGCTGAAGCGACCTTGAGACATCTCTGAATTGCAAAAAAGACCCAAAAAAATGTTTAATAAATCACAAAAACTGCACAAAACGTGAAGGAAAATCTTCATGCGAGTTAGTAATAAATTGGTCTGGAAGATGTTTGGTCTCTATATTTTATACTATCGAAGTCTGGTATGGGTTGGTCAGATCTGCTAAAGTCTATTTAATCTGTTTAAATCTAGTCTGATATGGTTTGAGATTGAAATAAGTAAAGAATTGCACTAAAGAATTGCTTACAGTCTCACAATATACGTACACGTTCATTACTTCAGTTTGCAATTGCATTGAATTGTTCTCTACTCACTAATACAACAATTTTTATCTTACAAGTTACAACCATCTTAACGACATGAAAAGAAGAGAGAAGAATAAGATTATTTTAAAAATCAAACCTAACCGACTAGTACTTCACCAGAGGAAGCTTGAGCAGTAGTATTAGCATCCTGCCTTACATTAAACCAGAAGAAAAGGGAAGTTCTACTACATATGACCCGAACCTGCTGCAATGTAAGTGTACCACTGGAAAGAACAGCCTTCGAGCCTCCTTCAATTCGGGTGCGCAAGACTGAAACACTGTCAGCATTAGCTGTACTTACAATGGCATAAGAAAGGTGGTCCAAAGGGTTTGTCTCACACTGCAGAAGACACCCATCGATTATCAACCTTCCACTCCGATGAAGCAGGCAGCAGCCAAGCTCCGCCCTCACAGTTAAGTTCGCTAATTTGCATGTGGACGTAAACTCCAATGCACTGTACAAACAAAATGAGAAGAAACGTGGAAACAGGTTTGTGAGATATGACTAGCTTATGCTCCGTTTGGCAGGCATATTTGAAAGAAAGGGAAGGTGTGATATTTATTAAATGTTATAAAAGACAGTAAGAATGAAAAATTATAAATAGAAAATAGTTCGACCATTCACAATATTTGCTATCAAGAGGGAAAAATTCTAAACCTTTACTCTTAACAATTGCAAAACTGTGTAATTTCTTACTACGTATAAAACAACACTTATTGTGAACAGGAAGAAATACATCATTTAAGTAAGTTTTGTGTTTTGTTACTGTTGGCACATGAAAACATTTTCAAATAAAGATTTTCTTGGGTTTGCCACAAGAAAGTAATTTCCAGAAGAAAAAAATTCCTTTTTCTTTGATTCTGGAGAAACTATACGGTGTATTATACATATAACAGCCTATTTTACAGAAACATTTTCCTCGAGTAGTTTTCTTAGAACAGGGACGGACACAAGGCACTATAAAGGGGCGGGCCAATTTTGAACTAAAAAATATCAAAATATAAGCTCAGTAGCCAAATTAAGTTCAAGTGCATCACAAAATTTATTACAACAAAGTCAACAAAACCACTACAAATATGATGTGCATCAAACATTCGAACTAAAATGTCAATTGCACTCTACGGTCTTTTACTTTAGCAAATTCATCAATAAAGGAATCAATATCTATTGTACTAATAAGTTCCCTCTCAATGAAGATTGTCAAACTATCAGCAAGAAACTCATCAGCTATTTTGTTGCGAATTGCAGTCTTGACATGGTTCATTGCTCAAAAATGTTCTTTGTTGTAGCTGCAGAAACCGGTAATGTAAGCACAAGACGTATCAATCTTGTTATCATTTTCAAATCTTTAGTCTTTCATGTTTTCACTAAATCTTGAAATCGAGAGTTCTAAACAACGTGAACATGATAAGATGTCAGTTCAATCATTAAAGCATTTCTCTCCTATTGCTCAAAATCATCAGGATAAAACTCCACCGCAAGCTTATAAATATGATCAACATTATATGATTCAAAAAAGTTTTTCCTATCCAAGTAGTCTAATTGATTTCTCACTAAACTTGAATTCAACTCCGCCACTTGAAAATCTATGGATTGAGTAAAGTATTCAAAGCACTAATAATGTTCAAGATCCACCTCACTGTGCCCGCGACGCATTATGCTCTTCATGTCTGAGATAGTGATATTATGTTTTTAAGCAAAAGTCTTCCACGTGTTGAAATGCTTTACAAAGAAAATCGATTATAGTCATAATAGTTTTTATTACGTGCAAGCCAAAGACAAAATTAAAAGTCTTCAAGCTAGTGCAAGCTCCACCTACTTCATTTCGAGCCTTATGGTTCAGCTCATCACAAACAATATCCTCGAGTACCTTACACGTAGCATTGTACAATTCTATCATACTAAGAATAGAATCATAATGAGAGTCCAACGAGTTGTACCCGAGCGTCGTAAAGATGACATTTGATTCGCTCCTCGTCCAGATTCACGCTCCTCAATTGCTAATAGAATGACGATATCAGCTCTATGAACAAATTGTAATTATGTATTGCGCTTAGCAGAAGATTTGACAATGTTAATTATTTTATCCAAAATGGAAAAGAATCTCCAAATAGGATCACACTGTTTTGCTAAAGCCACCAATGCCAATTGCAACCTGTGAGCAAAACAATGCACATAATATGCATAAGGACGATCATTAATAAATAGTGCTTGCAATCCATTCCATTGGCCATGCATATTACTAGCACTGTCATATCCTTGGCCCCGTAACTTATGAACTTGAAGATTGTAGTGTAAACGAACATCACAGTTCTCGACTGAGTTGGCTCTTTGACAGTTGATTGTTAATACTCCTCTCGTATATGATATCATGTAATAAATGTGTGACATGTGGTGCTTCTCTAATGTCATTAGCTCAGCATATTGATATAGTGATTGAAACAATTAGCAAAGAAGTTTTAAAAAATCATAGATTAAAGACATCAATCATGATTGTGCAGTGGCTAGCGTTGTAGGGTTGTGCTTTTAAAGGTCATGACGAGTCTAAAATATCTTTGAAACGTGGAAATATGATAGAAATGATTAGTTACATAGCAAAGTGGAATGAGGAAGTCAGAGATGTTGTATTGGGTAATGCTCCCAAAAATGCCGAATACACTTCTCCTAATAACTAGAATGAAATTTTATCTTTAATGACTAATAGAGTTCGTCGTATGATACGCGAAGAAATAGGAGATTTGTGTTTTTCTCTTGTTGATGAATTTGATCGAGAGCAAATGGCCATAATTTTGAGAGTTGTGAATGTTGCTGGTGTTTTTTTGCTATTAAAGATATTGCTGAAACTTCTTCACAAACATTAAAGCACGAGATTTGTGATGTTCTTTCTCACTACAATCTTCAAGTCCATAAGCTACGAGGCCAAAGATATGACGGTGCTAGTAATATGTAAGGCCAATGGAACAGATTGCAAGCATTATATATTAATGATTGTCTTTATGCACACTATGTGCATTGTTTTGCTCACGGGTTGCAATTGACATTGGTGGCTTCACCAAAACAATGTGATCCTATTTGGAGATTGTTTACTATTTTGGATAAAGTAATTAACATTGTCAAATCTTCTGCTAAGCGCAATACAGAATAACAATTTGCTCATAGAACTGATATTGACATTCTATTAACAAGTGAGGAGCGTGAATCCGAACGAGGGGCGGATCAAATGTCATCTTTACAACGCTCGGGTACAACTCGTTGGAGCTCTCATTGTGATTCTATTCTTAGTATGATAGAATTGTACAATGCTACTTGTAAGATACTCGAGAATATTGTTTGTGATTGGCCGAACCATAAGGCTCGAAATGAAGCAGATGGGGCTTGAACTAGCTTGAAGACTTTTAATTTTATCTTTGGCTTGCACATAAATAAAACTATTATTGCTATAATCGATTTTCTTTGTAAAGCATTTCAAAAGGAATCAGTGAACATTTTATCTGCAATAGGATATGTTTTAACATCCAAAATCCTTCTTCAAAAATTAAGGGATGATGGATGGAACAATTTGTTGAAACGCGTGAAAGAGTTTTGCTTAAAAACATAACATCACTATCTCAGACATGAAGAGCAAAATGCGTCGCAGCCGGAGTGAGGTGGATCTTGAACATTATTTCTCCCGTGAATACTTAACTCAATCCATAGATTTTCAAGTGGAGGAGTTGAATTCAAGATTTAGTGAGAAATCAGTTAGATTACTTGAGCTTGATGTGCGCTTAGTGTGGCGTTGGATCAGAAAAACTCCTTCAAATTATATAACGCTGATCATATTTATAAGATCGCGGTGGAGTTTTATCCTGAAGATCTTGATTTTTGAGCAATATGAAAGAAATGCTTTAATGAGAGAACTGACGTTTTATCATGTTCACGTGGTTCAGAACTCTCAATTTCAAGTTTCTAAACTTTCACATTTATGTGAGATGTTGGTGAAAACAAGAAAGGCAGAAGATTTCAAAATGATGACATGATTGATACATCTTGTGCTAACATTACCTATTTCTACAACTACAACAGAGAGCATTTTCAGCAATGAAACATGTCAAACTACAATCACAACAAAATGGTTGATGAATTTCTTGCTGATAGTTTGACAATCTTCATTGAGAGGGAACTTGTTAGTACAATAGAAATTGACTCCCTTATTGATGAAGTTGCTAAAGTAAAAGTCCATAGAGTGCAATTGACATTTTATTTCAAATGTTTGATACATCATATTTGTAGTAGTCTTGTTGATTTTGTTGTGATAAATTTTGTGATGCACTTGAACTTAATTTGATTACTAAACTTATATTTGAGAAACTTTTTAGTTCAAATGTGCCCCACCCCTTTAGAGTGCCCTGGCTCTACCCCTGCCGGTCGGCGGTCATCTTCTACCTCCAGCGGTGCTGCGGTGGCGTATGCTTGGGCAGTTGAGCAGCTTGACTGAGTTGGCTCTTTGACCCCTGATTGTTAATACTCCTGTCGTATCTGGTATCACCTATGTCTCTCTTTGAGACTTTGACTCCTTGGTTCTTATTAGTTGAATAGGATTTAGGATTTGGGCTAAAGTTCTTTAATGCTACTGGGCCTGTTTTTTTGGACACTAGGACATTACTAATTTTTTAATCCTCCTAATGGGGACTAGACCATGATGCACTGGGCCATGGCCCAGGCTGCCCCCTCCTCCGCCACTGCCATAAAAACAAATTGAGCCTAAGTCCATTAGATAGAGAAAAATTAGTAAAACAAATATCAATCTTCCCTTCTAAAATCCCTTAACCAAGCACGCCTTAAATGACCAATATGACAATCCCCCCTCCCAATCCCAATAAAAAATGACTTGTTTGTAGTACTGGTAATTGTTAAGATCACTCCTTTTGGGGGATGACATTAAGCACCATGTAACCTGCAAATGGGAAGTACTAATGAAGATTTCGCAAACCTGTCTGAACCACGGGAGCATGTAAGTACAGTATCATCTGGAATTTCACCTGCGCCAATCTGTAGAACAATGTCAAAGTGGAAAAAGGCAGTTTTATATTAGATCTGCTGTGTGGATCAAGGTACTACTTGTCTAATACAGTAATACCCCTTATGTCCACTTTTACTTGTTCCCATAAGTTTTTCACTTATATGAAGAGTAATAAAGCTATAGGTATAATGAATAGTTTAGACAAAGTGAAAAGGTAGGACTGTAGGAGTGAAGATAAAAAAGTAATAAGTTGGACAAAGAAGATGAAAAAGAAAAGATATTAATACTCCCTCTGTATTTAAAAGTTCCCTACACTTTCCTTTTTGGTGTGTATTTAAAAGTTCCCTACACTTTCCCTTTTTGGTAAGTGTTTCCTTTAAAAATACTCAATTACCCTTACTTTTTCTACTTTTGATCCTCTCTTTCCTACTTGTTCACCCTCCTACTTTTTCTATACTATTCATTACCCCTACTATTCTCCCTTAAATCTTGTGCTATAATCTAACGTATGGATCTTTTAAATAAGGAGGGAATATCTTTTTAGAAATCAAAACTAGAAAATGTTGCAAAGAAGAACCAAGTAATAATAAACTTTGATTAAAAAGGGAATTAGTAATAGTGAACAATAGGTGGGAGTAACTATCACTGCATTCATGGTTTACTATCCAACCCATCATATCATCATCATCACCCCAGTGCCGCAAAGGCTCCCACCTACGATGGGGTAAGGGGGGTCGGATGTACGCAGTCTTACCCCTGTACTAAAGCACAGAGAGACTGTTTCCGAATGATCCATAGTAAAAATCACGTCGAGAATTGCATAGGCTGACTGTTACTATCCAACCCAGCATTCACCAAAAATCTATCACACGGATAATTACAAGATTAAACAAGAGAAGGTGAAAGCGGAGAGATGAACCAACATTAGGAAAAGTTCTCAACACATCAACTTGTATAAGATACTATGTAAAGCAGTAGAGATCGCCGTGTGATAGTTTGAGATGCAAAACAGAGAATCTTAACTATTTTCCTTTAAATTGTAATAATTTGTTTTTGATATTCCCTGATTGAAATGAATAAGTAAAGCCTTCAACAACAATTCCTAGTACATACAAAGATAAATGTGATAGGCTAATCATTGAGTATTAACGAAATAAAATAAAACAAATACAAACCTACATTCCAGAAGCCCAGGTTTGCTAAGGTCTTAAAAAGTCATATCCTGTTACTATTACAGCTTGATTTAGCACCTCTTATGCAATTTCTGACTTACCAGGCATAGGGGCTTTTTTATCTGAATATTCGAAACACGGTGACTTCCACCATCTGCAATCAGAATGGTGTCCCCAGGTCTGTACACCATTCAGCCACAAGAAGATATCAGTATTTCATGCAGATAATTCAAAGGGAGCTATATAGTTTATTTTTAATTTGGGGGGGTTTCTAACCTTGCAGCAGAGATAGCTGCCTCAATGTTCGGGAAAATCCCGGGAAGAGATAAGTCCCTCACAGAACGGTCAACTCGCAACCAAAGCTGAGGGTGAAATGCCAGGAAACACCATCTGTGGCAAACCAGTGCGGTGTTATACCGATCTGCAAACACATCATCAATTTGTTACAAAGGATATTACAATTTACAACATCCAGGCATAAGGCAAGCTATGATGTCTGACTAACTACAACTAGTCCAGTAACTCCATAGGCAGTTCATATAACCTAATAAATGAAGGAAAGTCCTTATGCAGTTTGCATAACCTTATTTATGATGATAATTTTGTATAGTGAAGAACACCAAATTGACTGGAAAAGTGGAACACAATGCAATACGCAGGCACTTAGAGGAACTGGAAATCAAGAAAGGATAAATAAAGATACTACCCATGCAATATTTGATTTAGAAGGACTGGTTGCTAACCCAATATCAATTATTATGGAAGCATAATATTTAAGAGTGCGAAAAGTTGCAGCATTGGTTGAGTACTGGCTTGATATAGAGTGTTGATACATGAACAAAAAAACTCATGAAAGGGTACCTCATTAAATAAGAGGCATTACAACCAAATAATAAAGTATCTTTGTTAAGGGGGGGAAACACAAGATGGCTGCTTTCCCATGTTGGAGCTACAACAGGTTATATTAACAAAATAGCAACATAAAAATGTCAAGACAAGCCCGCTAAAAAATGTTAAAGATGAACTCCAGTCTCAGTTTCTGAGTAGAATTCTAAGATGGGCCATGAAAATATTATTGAAAACGATCTACTCTAGGGTCCAAGATTAGGTATTATGCACGAAGTCTTACTTAATTAACTACTACAAAGTAAGACCTTTGACAAACCGTTGTTAATTTGTTATCAAATTGGGATGGTAATTCCTGTAAGGAATCTTTTAACCTCTTGATAGCTCAACTGAAGATGGCTAAGAGATGCAAATTATCAAACTTCGTGGTTTAGTAAAAAATCCAATGGAGATTCGGGCCATCGGTAAATGTGCAGAGGGATATGAATGGAATGGAAGATTAATATACGTAGTAGATACCTGGGATGGGAGTAAGGAAACTGAAGATATGCATGAGGCAGCCGTCATCTAGATTGTTAATATTATGAAGAGGGTAGAGGCAATAAGGAGCAGCACCCAACTCAGACGCCGATGGATGGTTTCCTTTGGAAAAGCGCCTCACTTTCCGCCGCTCTTCAACCCACTCCGCCATCAGTTGGCATACGAGGAGGCTACACCATCACACCTATCGAGCCCCCCTTCGCTTTACGGCCGGTGGTCTATTGAATCTTGCAGGTACCTGGACAGAGTAACAGTGTCCAATTTACATTGGCATTATAGTCTTATTTAAATATCCTATGTATAGTCTCCTCAACCCGCAGACCCAACACGTAATCTGGGGTTTCAATTGGACAAAGTACAGATAAGATCACTAGACCAACGGAGAATGGGCTGATAACTGTATTTTATTCACTTCAACGATTACAAGGCCGAACGTACTGAGCTATTGCTATGAGCTGTTATTGCTATTACAATGTTAGAGAGTCAAAATGTGAATCCTTTACAATTAAATAAATGCGACTTTTTATATTATCCCAGGGTGGTTGGGGGCTGACGTGGTTGGCTGTGGACGACATGATCCCAACCACCAAATCTCCCGCATTTAATGTGTTCCCCGCCAGGATCTTGGCTTCCCGCCATGACGTGGGGACGTTCTTCCCTCAGGCTGGACCCAACCCTCTGGTGGCAACCTGGACCCTTGGGTAGAAAACTCATAGGACGTACGTCTTCTGGCCCTTCGGACCCTGAAGCTTGGTCATGTTGGGCTATGTACGTCCCTTAGCCCTTGGACCCTGAAGCTTGGTCATGCTGGGCTGTGTACGTCCCTTAGCCCTTGGACCCTGAAGCTTGGTCATGCTGGACTACGTACGTCCTCTGGCCCTTGGGCCCTTAAGCTTGGTCATGCTGGGCTACGTACGTTCCCTAGCCCTTGGACCCTGAAGCTTGATCATGCTGGACTACGTATGTCTCCTGGCCCTTGGACCTTGAAGCTTGGTCATGTTGAGCTATGTACGTCCATAGCCCTTGGACCCTGAAGCTTGGTCATGCTGAACTACGTACATCTCCTGGCCCTTGGGCCCTGAAGCCTGGTCATGCTGGACTATGTACGTCTCCTATCCCTTGGGTCCTGAAGCCTGGCCGTGCTGGACTACGTGCGGCCCCTGATCCTAGCCTTCCTTTTGGACCCGTTGGCAAATGCTCTTGTACGGTCTCTAGGGGTTGATGGGCCAGCCCTTGTTAGACCATTAACCCAATAGGGTGTCATCCCTTTTTTTGTAAAATAAGGAAGAATATTCCCTAATAAATGAAAAAAGAGTCAAGTATATTGTGATTTGATAACATTATTTTTTATCTTCCAAAGAGGAGCTCGTAAGTTCGAGTCTTATTTCAATATGAATTTTGACATTACAACAAGAACAACAAGATTCAAGTCCTAATCTCAAAAGATCAATGAGATCCATGATATCGATGCCAAAAAGAGAAGATAAACAAGAAAAAAACGATAAAACGAATAAGATAAAGATAAATAAATATATGATAACAATAACATAAGAATATAAGAAAGATAAAAGATTAAAAGATAAAAGAGCATAAAAAGCTAGAAGATAAAACTAACGTAAGAACATAAAAAGACAAAGAAGATAAACAATAAAAGAAAAGGAGAGGGAAAAAAATTAGGGCTGGTCAATTCGGTTTAGGTTCGGTTTTCTTCGGTTTTGGTTTGATTTCGGTTTATTCGGTTTGAGAGAATTTGTACCAAACTAAAACCACTTGTGTTTCAATTTGGTTTCGGTTCGGTTTTGGTTCAATTCGGTTTGAAGATCGGTTTACCAAAGTGAAAATTATTATGTTCAATTTAGTTTGATTTGATTCGGTTTCTTATATTTATTACTAGTATTTTATTGATTAAATTCTATGTTTTAGAATTAGAAAATGAAAATAGTAGTCCATCTCATCTTCTTTTATTTATTATTTAAATAAAATATAAAAGGAAATAAAAGATAGAAAAAGAAATAATAAAATATTACTGCGTATAAAACAAAACTTCTAACATCTTTTCAATCACTAGACAAAGATTCACTTCTCACCAAAATAAATTTAGATATAGTTGATCATTGTTTATAATATCACATAAAGTATTCAAAAAAAACTAAATGTACAACTAGAGAGATCGAAAGAACATAATTTCCTTTATCCACTTTTATTTCAGGAGTATATTTATGTCCTTGTTCATGATCGTGCTTTAAGTGGTTTAAAAGGGTCAATTTCTACTGAAAATATAAGTAAGTGGTGCAAATGTTGTAATATTCACAACTTTATTCAAATGAATCATGGTAAAAAAATATAAATGCAATTTGCTATTGTTATCACCAAATATCTTTTCATACAAGTAGAATATAAAACATAACAAATACACATATGTCTTATTAGCTAATATTGTCATAATGAATGTATAAATTGTGTAAAAGTTAAAATGATATATGCAAATTTATATTTTTTTATGTCTAAATTATTGATATACTAAAGATAAAGAATGAAGAAAATACAAAGTTTGTTCAACGTAAAAAATACACATATGTCGTACAAGCTAATATTGTCATAATGAATGTATAAATTGTGTAAAAGTTAAATTGATATATGCAAATTTGTATTTTTGATGTCTAAATTATTGATATACTAAAGATAAAGAGTGAAGAAAAATACAAAATATTGATATACTAAGGATCTTTTCTGATATGTCCACACATCCAACGCAACATACGCATTGCATCTCTGTCACACTCATCTTTTGAATGTGACATTGTTTCACTGTCCAACACACTATGTCATACATTAATGCAGGCTTAATTGTTGTTCGATAAAAATTACCTTTCAGTCTAGTCGGCATACCTCGATCGCATAGAAATCCTGATGCACTCTTCCATTTCATCCACCCAGCTCTGATTCTATAAGATACATCTCTATCTAATTCATCATCCTTCTGAATTAATGGAGCTCAAGTAATGAAACATATCACACATCGGTATCTCCTTATCATCAAGGGTAATCTCACTGTTGCTGCTACTTCTACCTCCACCAAACTTACACTCCATATACACGGTTTTGCTTCGACTCAGTCTGAATCCTTGGGTCTTCAATGTTTGTCGCCATACTTCCAACTTTGCTTTAACACCCGATTGTGTCTCATCAATCAATACAATATCATCGGCAAACATTATGCGCCACGGTATATCTTCTTGAATTGACTTCGTAAGTTCATCCATGACTATAGCAAATAAGAAAGGACTGAGAACCGATCCTTGGTGCACTCTGATAGTAATAGGGAACTATGCGGTCCTCCCTACACTAGTACGAACACTCGTAGCACAAGCCTCATACATATCCATGTTGATACTGTTATACTTATGTGATGTGCCTTTTCTAGGGGTGAGCAAATAATCGATTTAACCGACCTGACCGAAAACCAATGACCGAACCGACCGAAAAAATCGGTTTTCGGTCGGTTTTCGGTTATAATAAAATAAAAAGAATCGGTTATTCGGTTATTCGGTTTTTATTCGGTTATATTTATCGGTTATCGGTCGGTCACCGATAACCGTCCAAAATATATAAGTATATATACTCCATAGTAGAGTAGTCTTCCTGTCCGGAATTTCGGATAGGAACCGCCGTCCGGCCGACGAATTTTGGGGCTCTTTCAGGTGGAGTTTTTTGATGAAATTTTTATGGAATATTCTTCATTAAGTCTAGTTTATCCACAAAAACTTTCAGATAAATATTCCATCGGGAAGGTTGTCAAATGATTTATGGAAGTTAACTGCGCTAAAAAATACATATAAAACGCAGTTAACTTCCAAAAATCATTTGACGAGCTTCCCGATGGAATTGTTTGCTCAAATTTGGTATGGATGAAATAGACTTGATGAAGAACATGAAATAAAAATTTCATCAAAAAATTCCATCGGCCGATTATGGTCAGTTATTCGGTTACCGACCGAAACAGAATGACATTTTTCGGTCGGTTTTTGTAATGTTATCGGTCGGTTTTCGATCGATTATTTAAGTAAAAAATATTGGTCGGTTATTCGGTTATCGGTCGGTTATTTGACCGACCGGCCGAATGCTCACCCCTAGCCTTTTCTAGTTAAGGCCCACCAAATGACGTCTCGAGGTACCCTATCATAATATGCCTTTTCTAAGTCAATAAACACCAAATACAGATCCTTTTTAGTATCTCTATACTTCTCCACAATTTGTCTAAGAATGTGAATGACCTCAGTTTTTTAGCGTCCGGGCATAAAACCAAACCGATTCTCCAAAATTTTCACACTTTTTTGAAGTCTTTGTTCAACCACTCGCTCCCAAAGTTTCATGGTGTGACTCATAAGCTTAATCCCTCGATAGTTGGTACATTCGTGCACGTCACCCTTATTTTTAAATAGGGGAATGAGAATACTCTTCCGCCAACTCATTGCATTTTGTTGTTTCTCCGAATCATGTTGAAGAAATGTGTTAGCCACTCAATGACTCTCTCTCCCAAACTTCTCCAAGCCTCGATCGGTATGTCATCTGGGCCCGTTGCTTTCTTCCGTCCCATCTTTCTCAAAGCCTCTTTAACTTTTGTTATTTGGATCCTTCTCACAAAGTCCCGATTTATCATACACTCTGGCATAGTAAGATCATCAATGCCTTGCACTTTATTCCCGTTGAACAAGGTATCAAAGTATGATCTCCACCTCTCCTTTATTTCCCCATTCTCCATTAGTTACATTTGATCAACATTCATCACACACTTAATTTTTCCGATATCTTGAGTCATACGGTCACGAAGACGAGCAAGTCTGAAAATATCTTTTCTCCTTCCTTAGAGTCCAATTTTGCATACAATTCCTTGTTCACTTTTCCTCTTGTTTCCTTTACAGCTTTCTTTGCTCTTCTTCTAGTCCCCTTGTACTCCTCTATGTTCTCGTCGCTTCAACTCTTGCCCAATTTCTTGTACTCCTCTTTTTGTTCAATTTCCTAATGAATTTTGACATTATCATGAAAAATACTATAATAAGTTTAGAAGAATTTTCTTTTTAAAAAAATGAAAAATAAGAATGATAGAGAAATTCATTAGAAAAAACATACAAATTATGATATTAATGTTTGTAATTTGTACATTTTTTGTGTACTTTACCCAGATATGTGTTTTTCATAGTATTTGACAAACATATTTTCTATTTGCATCACAAAGTT